ATATAAATTCAAATACTCCAAGTCCATCACAGCAGGAAATTTCCTGAGTGCAAACAAAAAGAAAAAATCTTCTGCTCCTGAATGAAGGATTAAATAATAATAAAGGAACACAGACKCTACATAGAAATTCAACAAAACAAATTCAGTAGAGAAAAAACATTATTTAGATCATGATCTCTTGTTTTGGCAAGCATACAAACATTCAATAAGACTCTTTCAAACCCTATGGATGAAGTAAAGCCATGCATACAGACATGTAAAATGTGTCCAGATCTTAGTTCCAGCTTCTCACTAAATTAAAGCACAGTTTCTAAGTGAAATTATCTAATAAGAATAAAAATGACAGCTATTAATTCAGTTCTTTCTATCTTAAGGTAAGTTCTCCTGTTGGTGTGACAGTGCTTTCAAATAGCTCTTATTTTCTAACTTATGTAAATATCAGGCACAGCTTGTGCCTTTCCTTACTACTTATTTCTCAAAGGGGTTAGGCAAATATTAAGCTCTTTCAGCAGATACTTCATCTCTTCCAGTCTGAATAACTGATAAGATTGTACAGCAATTTTAAATTGTGGCCCAGCAAAATATAGAATCTGAACAGACAGATTCTGTCTCAGTTCAAAAGCTGTCTTTATATTTAAATGCCATGAAGAAGTAATGTTGAAATTACTTATTTTTGCCTTACAAAAAGGAGATACACCAGGTACCAGCTCCTGAACTAAAGCCAGCCCTGTAAATACTGATTGAGATGTCAGTATTATTATTCCTGTAAGATACTGTTTGTGTTCTTAGCAAAGTGCAAGGTTTTATTGAAGACTGAAGTGTATCAAAACATCTCACATGTCTGAAGTAATGACATTTAACTCAAGGCTCTGAAACATCACTAACCTGCTGGGTCAGGGTTTTAACACTGAGGRAGAGGGAACAAACTGAAGCCCTTAGTGTAGTTCTTTCCATCATTCTGGTTTTGAAGAGTACTGGAAAACATAGTATTTAATGGGATATTATGAGTTTCATTTCAACATGCTGCAGATATAAACTCCATTAAAATACCTTGTTCTCTAGTCTCCTTTCCTGCATTAGCTTCGTTATGCCTTTCTCATGGGTTTCAAAGTTCTAAAACAGAATATTGAAATTTGACACGATACAACTTCTTGATTACAGTTTTTTGAACCACAATCTCTCAGAAGGAAGGATGCACAAATTACTCAGGTGGTCGCTACAATTTTAAGGTTTCTAGATAATCTACTTATCTTTTGTACATTATAAGCAGGTGAGGAAATRACTACTGTAAATAGCAATGGTGGATAAATTACTTCCATTTATTCAGAAATAAAAATGTCTGCAGTTCTCGACTTTCAAGGTCCATGAGAAATAATGAGTATAATTGTCATTTCAGTTACCTCTATTACAGCTCAACCATTATATTTCATTATAGTTCAGCTCGGACTAGCTTGCCAATGGACAATTTTGGGTGGCTACAAGTGGAAAAAGATTGGAAAGCACTAGGCTGGAGGGCTTAGAGAGTGATATTTCTTACAATTAAGTGATCATAGTTAGAACTCCCCCCTTCTTGCTTCCTCTCAGGCAGCGAGCGTCATTAATTCTTGCAACTGAGAAAATAATAACTATATATGAGTCTGACCCTTGCCTACTTGATCTCCCTGCTTCAGGGCAAGGACATGTCTTAAGGAAGGACATGTCTTAAGGAAGGTCATGATGAACTGTTTGTTTGTTTGTTTTTAGATAAAATTCTATTTATTTGAATTTTTATTTCTATGTCTTGGACACGAGTTGTTTCATCTGCAGCTCTGAAGCATTAATGAAGTCAAAATTGTCACCAGTGGCTCCCTTGCTGCYTCTGCTTTTGGGTGGAGTCTCCCCATCAGCTCCTCTGTGGCCTGTGACAGAAGAGGGCCTGCCAGAATAAATGGGTTGTGCGGGAGTCTTGCCTTTGGGTTCTGGCCTCAGACAACCCTTTAAAAACCCTCTCTCCAAATTCCAAACGACAAAGTGGTCCCTGGCAAAACAACAGGATTCTTTGATATCACATGAACCATGTTCTGGGAACAGCACCAAGAGATCTTATCCAAACATTTCTCACAGACCTCACAAACACTAGGGAAAACCAATTCAGTCCAACAGGCACAGGGAAGAATGAATTGCATCCTTCTGCTCCGGCGAGGTCTTTATTACTCTTAGAGGATTCTATCTCTAGAGAATGAAAGAGTTTTTTTTTTCTTTTTTTTTTTGCCACCTTCCATCTGTGGAAAAGGCAACCTTAGCTCACAATTTGGATCCCACAGTAGCTTTAAAATTAACAAGTCTTAACCGGACTGAAACCGAGTTTCCTCTCAGATGCACAGTATACTGTAAAAATCATTTATTTTTAACTTTCAGATATATTTAGACATACTTGCATACTTATCTGACAGATTTTAAGAGAATGGCCTTTATGCTAATGACTATCATGACTTCAAAAAATTAAGAGGACTGACTGAACAACCATTATATTTAGAAGTATTAATAGTTAGATCTGCAGAGAATGAACATATGATTTGTTCCATATGTAAAACTTCCTGGATGATGCAGTCAGTGCCAGAGACAAACTCCTACCTAATCTCAAAGAGGCCAAGCCGTAGTTCTCCTAAAGAATCCTGTACTTCTTTCTTTGGCAAGGAATGAGGCAAAATCCTTCTGTTTCTTCACATACTTCTTTTCAAAAGGTCATAAATTAACTGTGTCTAGTAAAACACATTCCCTGCGTCGTATAATGAATTATCTAATTAAAAATCTTTTTTACGGAAATGGAAAAGAAAAATCATCAATAAGCATGCACCCCCACAAYCTTATTTTTTGAATAATTTTGCAATTAGTGCCTGAAGAAGGAGTCTTGTAGAAGACGTAAGGAAAGAGGCCAACCGCTCGTCTGCAAGGAGGAAGAGCTTCATATCTCACCAGCACAATGTCAGTGCTTTCTACAAGTCTCCTTTCCTGTCTAGCAGCACTGCTTTGCATTTTGATTTTGCGGTGTAAGGACTCCAAGGTTCCTGCACACAATGCACCTCTGAAACAAAGAACAACCACCTATGAGTAGTAACTATCCACAGAGCTGTCCCCATTCTGTTCATAAGTTTAAAGCAGCCTGATCCATGTGTCTCATGAACACTCCTAGTAGTGATCTCTAATTCCCTAGCATAGATAGCTGTACATCAGTTACCACGGAGGGCTACAAGCCTGGCCTCATTGAAGTCAATGGGAACCAGGAGCTCATTTTGGGAGGTCTGAGTTGTTATAAAGCACAGATTTACAGGCTGACTCAGGCACCTAAACCTGTAGGAAGGCTGCCTACTTTTCAAAACCTCCTACATTAGGAAAGATGCTATTGAAGATCTCACTGGCCACCCAAACATATTTAAAGGCGGAGCACAGGTTTCTTTCCTTGAGGAGAAGGAATATAGTCTCTAAACGCTCATCACTAGGCGATCACAAGGAAGTAGCCATTAGTTCCATCTCCCGTGAATGATGAACATCAGCTCTCAGCCTATCGGCTTAGCACCCACCTCTCCTCTGCCAGCAGTGAACACCTCGGCTTCCTTTTCATTCCTGTGCAGTCAAATAAAACAGATAAAACACATCTGCAGCCTTACACTGTCACACTGCCAAGGAAAGCCTAACTGCACATAGAAGGAAGACTGAATTCTGCTTCCAGAGGTATATGTGCAAACCAGTGCAAGAGGTACACAATAACATCAGGTCTACTCTGTAAGAATCAACCAGATGATAAATAAGTTACAGAATAAAGCCCTGACGTTCACAYGCAGATTGCTTTGGACTTTTAATACCAACCAGGACATGCTTGGGAGAGGGAGGGCTGAAGGGGCAGTCTTGCTGCCCTGGTGGTGACAATTTAGGAATGGAAACTATCAGATTGCCAAATATGCTAACCAGCTGCTCACTATAATGCTCTAAAAGGTTATTACGTACAGGATTTGGGACTTTTATTACAGTTTCATTTTGCTTTGTTGTCCCCACATACACCAAATCTAGATGCTGTATACGTAATGATYTGCTGTACTCCCAATGTCATTGCCACCTGCAAATCTAGTTTTCAAACCCTTCAGGCATAATAGTGATATAAAATAAATAAATAAATAAATAAAGACCTCAAAATGCACTTTAGGTTGTCTTCTTTATAATCTCTTTCATCTACAACAGCCCCTAGCTTCTCTTATATCTTACATTCTCTTACATTAGTTTTCTTCATGACACTTTGTTTTACCTCTGTGTGACTGGATTTGCCTTTGTAAACTATTTCTGTCTTTAATGCAGAAATGCTTGCAGTACTATTTGAAAACCAAATTAAAAGAAGTGGCAGACACCGGACTTCTAAGCCTCATCATTCTGATTCTGTCAAACATACTGCATAAGTAAATATCCCCGTCCTTTCCTATTGTTGCATGTTAGAAAAGTGGACTAATCATACTTGGAAAAGTTGTTTCTTTGTTCGTTTCAGTGACTATAATATTTACACAGAGCAAGCTGAATAATGAACTCCCAGCTGAGGTCAGGAACAGGACTCCAACTGAGAGAACACCTGGTGTAGCACAAACCTTGCTCTCAGGTTTTCAGCCTGACAATCACTCTCAACAAGTGCTGTGTAAAGCTGGATGCTAGTCTGGCATATCATACCAAAAAAAAAAAAAAAAAAAGAAAGCCCTTCAATTTATATTTGGAAGAAGTACCTGCAATTGGTAGTGGAAGATACAGATGACTGTTAGGAATGTGAGAGGAGACAGCGGAATTCACACCTACAAAATCTACTCTTAAATTTATTCCCTTATATCATTTGAATTATCTAATGACATTATAGAAAATATAGAGTAGCAGAGTAAATAAGAAGTAATTATGAACTGCTCTGACTGAAAGCAAAATACAGTGATGGTAGAGTGATATTCAGTTGAATTCTGGTAAGGGATTTTAATCACAAATTCTCAGTGGGGGAAAAGCACTTTCTACTAACCTGTAAACTTACAGAATACAGCCTTTCATTGAGTTCCTTGACACAAGTATGGAACAATCCTTGTGCACAGGAATATCTGCTGAAGAAATGAGTATTTCATGCAGGAATTGACATGAATCAGTCAGATCCAAAACCTGAAATAATAAAAAACAGTAAAGGTTCAAGCACAGAGCTCAGCATATTTCCTGAGTCTGCCATATATTTCTTTCCCTTCCATGCCCCAGAATAAAATATGAAGCCCTAAAGTTCTCAGGGGAAAGGAAGTGAAATGTGAAAATAGAGAATATGAAAGTATCACCCCTCACAAAAAGCAGGAAAGAAAAACAAACCCAAACAAAGGAGAGAACTGAGGACAAGAAAAAAAAAAAAAAAAAAAAAAAAAAAAAGAAAAAAAGAAAAGAAAAAAAAGGACTGAAATGACAGTAAAAATGAAATGCAAGTTCAAAGGAAAGAAAGAACTGTCAGAAATAATTAGGAGAGGGAAAAGAAATCCAAAATATCTAAAAAGAGGAGTGAAGGGTCACTTTATAGCTAATTAACTGCATCTGAAAGGAATTGTAATCTCTTTTAAAGCGTTATGAGATTTTTCTCTCCTTCTATTTCCTTTCATTAAGAAAATCTTAAAATGCATGTTCAAGGTGTCATAGAGTACTGTTATTTATGCAGCAGTCACTGCTGAGGAGGTACCACTGCACACTGCATAATTTAAACTTTGCTTTGTTTTTCAAAACTAAGAGTCTCCTGCTAATCTTTTAAAGATTTTTTTTTCACATTTCACTTGCTATCTACTAGACTTGACAGGTTAATTCCCATTGAAATGTTGAAAAATCCCCACAGGGAAAAATCCTGACAAGTTATCCCATTATTTAACTAAATTGACAACTAAAATAAATACAGAAATAAGTCCTCCTCTCTGAAATGTTGAAATATGGATAATGAGCCCATTCATAAGTTAGATAGAATCTAGATAGAATAAAAGATTTAAAAGGCTATTAAAACCTCCATTTTCCAGGATATTAGGCAATTTCTAATGGAAAAAGTCACACAGCAAAGTCTATGAGACAGTCTATGAGTCCTGCTCCACAAGTGCAATCACCATGACCTAGGTCACAGAAGGGAAGACCCTTGCTTGAAATGCTGTAACACCTGTAAAAGATCACTCAAAGGCATAATGCCACTGAAGACAATGCATCTACACTATGAAAAATGATATGAACCAGTCAGGAAACTTCACTAACAAACATCATATTACTTAAAAAAAAATGAGAACACACAAGACACTTATTTGAAAATAGTTCACCCTTTTTATTCAGAATCTTATATTTAGTAATGCCTAAATCCATTGTGTTATAATTTTTATTTTGTATTATGACAAAGACTTAAAAGGATTTGGGGTAAATAATTTAACCAGAATCAATTAAATATAGTGGATGTTCTTGCAGAGGATGCATGCACTACAAAGTACATAAAAGAATGAAGCTGGAGACAAGGACCGGAGCTCTGTTCAACTATGGACTGCAATGAAATTTTTTCTGCAAACTCAAACGTGCTGAAACTAGAGCTCAGATATATGCGGAGCTATTCAGGGAGGGCAAACAGGAAGATGTTTGTTGCTGTTAGCAGATCTTCTACTAACATTATTTCCCATGATKGAAGGCACTGACACTAAAGTTACCTTATTTGCTACAGCACAGCTTATCCTCACTGATTAAAGAATAGCCAGTAGTCTCATTTTTTATAAATAGATATAAAGCGTCCTATGGATTAAAGATAGCTGTTGGTTACAGAGGCGAGGAGATGTGATCGGGGACCYGGATAAGCAGCGTAGATCACTAGCAGCTGCAGGAAGCAGCACGCAGGTGGGTCTCTGAAAAGGCATAAAGTTGGTCTCTGCTTTTCCATTGTTCCATTACATTTAAGGGCCTTCTCTAACACGGTTGTATCAAAGAATAATCTGCACGCTGACTCTCTATACATTCAAGGGAGTATATTCCAAGACAAGATGAAAATAAAGAGCCTGTTCCAAAGCCCCACGAAGTGAAAGAGAACTTACACTAGGAAACCCTCTGWGAATGAGAAGGTCAAAACAAATTCTGATAATTCCCTGCTTTAGCTCCCTCTTGTGGGTAATGCACAATTCAGAGACTAGCTAGTTCTCGTAAAAGTAACTTTCATGAAACAAAGTAAAACGCATTTAGAATATGATGTATATATAATTTTATAGAGATATAAAGAATATACAGAAAATATTCCAATGTAGTAACCATTCTGACATCAAACTAATGTGGATTTGAATAAAATAAAAAAGATTAAATATTATGATTTTGATGAATATATTTCTCAGATTCTTGACTAATACTTTGAAGACTAAAGCCTGACCTCCTTTCTCAAACATTTTATTTGTAACTTTCATAAAATTCTCATTTTGCAGATTTCATGCCATAAATAGTCTTTATTGTTTGCAAAGATTTCAGCTCTAGTGGAAAAACAAAAGACACTTCTAAATCTATGATATCTTTTTTACAAACTGCTTATGTCTACAGGTTTATCAATTAAAAAAACTATTTTAGTAATAAACTAACGTTTCTCCTTCTTTTAGGAAAATATACAAGAATCTCATAGCTTCAACTCAAAATTTCCAGATTTGTTCTTGCATGTAAGTTTCTGGGAACAATTTTTCCTCCCTTCACTACTTTATCATGAACGTCTTCAAAAATAATTTATCATCTTTTAAAAGAGCTTAGAGGTATTTCAACATGTAGTGAAACAACATGTGCAGCTATAGCACATGCACATAGTAACTATATTTTAAAGTGAAGATGACAGCATCTCCAATTTGAWTTTATGTCTTTGCATTACAATCCAAGACACAGTTGTTAGAGCCTTTACTCTGTCAGTAAAAAAAAAAAAAGGACACATAACTGGCCTTTTCTGAAAGAGTACACTGAAAATGTAAATGTTTCTCAGCTGGCAGTAGTTTAGTGATGACTCATGTCAACTTTTTCTATTAAGTACTTTCTATGGATTGAACTGTTCCAACTTCTTAAATGATTAGCATGTTAGGTTCCTGGTATTACATTTAGACTCAAAAATGCTGCTGGGCTGCATTTTTCCTTGACTATACTGAACAATATCGCTCCGATTTAGACAGCAAATTCTTCAGGGTAGGACATATCTTTTCCCCCCACTTCCTTCCTCCCCAGTTTTGTGGATATTAAAAGACATGAAAAGAGAAACTTTGTCCCAAGTCACAATCAAAAAAGAAGGAGCCCTCCTAACTTTCAGAGTTTGACTCTTTTCTTCTGTATCCTGGCAGAACTATGGGCAACAATACTAATAAGCATTTTATAGCTCAGAAAGTGTGTCACTTTGGGAACTGAGACAGGTTTTATAATGAAATACCTTGATATTCTGCACAACCATAGACCTTAGATTTTTTTTTTCTGGATGCACAGTGATGTGTTCTCTAGTTATTGCTGGTAGAGCACCCAGCAGAAGAAGGGTCATGYCCAGGAAACAGTCAATGACTCTGTGATGACTCCAAAGAGACTTTGCACAACCTTTAACAGGCAGAAGCTGTACTACAGGTCTCAAATTTGTGAATTTATTACAGGAGAAAATAAATGAGGAAGACATATTGCAGCTTGCACATTGTTTTATACATATAATGAGAAACAAATTATCATAATTAGTTTCAGATGTGAATAATCAGCACTATTCAAAGGTATTACAACTTATTTCTCTCTCCCYCCCTCAAAACAATTCCTTTTCACATAAAAGTCTATGAGCGAAGCATGCAGGAATGCTGTATACCATTTGGGGGAAAAAAAAATAGTGGGGAGATGTTGTCCCTAGGTTGTTGTCCCTAGGTACATACTGCTGGTTTTTGGTGAACTCTGTTAGATAAGACTAGGAAAGTCCAAGTATCAGTAGCTTAGGACTTAATTTTGAGCTCTTACAATTCACTCACCTGATAAATTGAAATTTTATCTAATTTTATCTTCATTTARAACACCATTTGCAGATAATTTAGGTATGGCTGTACTAAGTTTGGGCTGCAAGTTGATTCTTCACAGTTGATTTCTTACCTTTACTTTATGAGTTTATTTCTCAGCACTTACCCATTTTTGCTCCCCAGAGCTTTTCACAGTCCAACTGCTGTCTTGATCTATGAGCAAGATAATATTGCATTTGATGCTAGAAAAATGCACAGGAGACAAATGAACAAATGTTGCTTATCAGAAATTTCATGCAATTGAAAAAAAAAGGTAACTATCAAATACCTTGAAATACATATTCACATACATGCCTGTTTCCTCACTTATTTTTCTCTTGGGTACACGATTATGACAACTATGTCTGTAGAGGTGACAACAACCAACAAAAGCAAAAAACTTTCACATTTACATTACTCTATTGCTGATCTTGTTAACTGCGAGCAGTATATTAATAACTTAAAGCACTAACTGAACTAAATTCACTCTAGTCTGAACAATTTTATGAAAGACAAYTTCAAAAGATACAGGAATCTGTTTTCAGTCTCATGCTCCTAGAGATAAAACATCTTTTATAGAATGCTGGTATAGCAGTTTATCACTGTCTCAGCATCCAGGCAGCTACAAGCTTTCAGTGGCAGAGAAGACACAAAACCAATATAATATCTGGAGGAGATTTTTAAAAAATCTTAATCATATCTTTCCCGTTTTGCTCAGTAAGAGGTCACTTCCACATTTTGTTCAGCAAAGATCCTACTGGCCTAAATGAACTTTGTATTWATAAATGTTAATTTTTACTTTTAGACTAGATTTTTCTCAAAGCAGGAAAACAATCGGTTTAATTGGTCTTGACAAAATTGCTGCGGTATGGTGAGAATAACGGTGACAGTAGGTATTTCCAAAATGCTTTTTACTCCTTAAGAGTGCTRTAATTGAGAAATTGGCTCCTGCTCTAGAAGTTTCCTGCAGTGCTACTGTTCACGTCTCAGGAGTGGCACCAGACAGCAAAACAAAGAGTGATGGCCACAAATTAGGGTTTAGGTTGCTCAGGTTGGATATTAATCAGCAAAAAAAAATTTTTCCTCAGTAGGAGAGTGGTGCAGCCCTGAAACAAGTTGCCCCAAGAGACTGTATTCTTGGAGCRACAAGGCTAGAAAAAGCTCAGGTGATCTGATCCAGTGTTATCAAGGGCTCTGCTTCAGAAAGCAGGTTTGACTGGGCGACTTCCAGAGACTTCTTCCAGGCACCATTTATGTGATGCTGTGGGCTTTTACTGGCCCATTCACTTTAAAAGAATCTCTAATTCTTACATGGTCCTTTTCCAGCAAACATCAGAGGCAGTTTTGATTTTGACATGAAAGATTTTATATACAACTTCCTGAATTTGTTACTATCTAAACACATATGCTCTGAGGATTAAAAAAAAAAAGAGYCATAATCATGCCGGGTACTGGTCAACTGAAAATTAGCAATATTCTAGTGCTGATCTTAATCAGAGAAAAAAAAATAAAACTGGTAACATTATGAAAACTTATTAGCTATCTATAGAGAATATTTTCCATCAGACTCTTACCATCAAGCAGCTACATTTTTGCTGTAGTAGTACAAAAATCTCTTCCTTCAAGGTCAACTGAATCACACTCTCCACATAAGCAGAGATCAAACAGTTGCCTACGGCAGAGATAGCAGCGTGCTAGACAGTAATGCTCTCCTCATACTTGTTTTTCCTGCAGGAAATCATAAAATGCATTACTGGCAAAGACATTTATCTGATTTAAAGTAAGATCCTGCTCCAAAGAGTGGCTCTGTACAAGATGATTTTTACTTTTAAAGCCTTTCAGGGACAGCCTAACAGATACTTGTTCTAGAAGAAAAACATCGTCCCTTCTTGAACAAAACATTCCAAACTCATCCTAGACCCTGACTTTTCCCTTTCAGTGATCATTACCAATAATAAAGAGACTGCAGATGAAATTGTGTCCTCAGAGTTCCCCTGTGCAACCCCATTACTCTCCCCTAGAGCTGTCAGCAGTCAGACTTTGGCTGACTGCTCCTCATTGCTGTGACCTTATCAGATCCCACAAGTTAAGCAACTTGCAGTAGGAACAAACCCAAGTAAGAGCTTTCCAGTTTCTGCGGAGTTTTAGGGTGAGTACCGCAGACACAGGAGCGTGGGGCAGCTGTGTAAAACTTCAAGCTAGGTGCGGAAACTTTCAGCCTCATATAGGATATTATTGCCTGGATTTAGATTCTCTTATGTCTTGTGTAATTCAGCCATTTGGAGTGAGCTGCTCACTTGGCTCTGAATGGGTGACAGAAAAGAAAGTTACTTCTTTCATCCYTCTTCTACAATGTCTTCCCAATGTCTAGCCAGTATGTCCTGCCCCTTTGCCAGGAAGACAGTAGATTTTCAGACTATTTTGATGGGCTTGGAAACAGGACAATGGGAAAAGTAAAGGAGAGAAAAAAAAACAGAATCAYTCTTGTCAGGAATATTTACCAGCCCCATTCTGAGGAAGACAAAGCTATTTTGGAGAAAGAATAAAAGACAATGGCAGAAACAAAATTCACCCTCTGGTCTTTTGTCATATCCCAGCCTCATTCTGCAATTTATAGCTCTGTAACTGGAATCTTGGCTGGTATCTTGTTTTATTGTCTTGAAGCAACAAAGATTTACCACCAGTGCTCTTCCTTCCCAGTGTCATGCACAAGAATATCCTGAGATTTTTTTCCTTCATTTTGCTACAACCCATTCAGTTTCTATTTTTATTCATTTTTAGTTTTCTTTCTCTCTTCAAGATACTATTACACAGAAATTTCTTTGACTTTGCTAGCACAACTGCTTATGATGCAACAGCATAAACCACTAAATGAAATTATATAAACAGGCTACAAAGGGAAACTCTATCAGTTTAATGACTTGCACAACACAAAGTTCAAAGGAGCACTTTGCCTCAAAACCACTTGCATTGCCAAAACCGAAAGGCTCCCTACATCTGTGTTTTTACCAAAGGTTCACAACCAAGAAATAGCTTTCCACCCAAAGCCATAACTCATCGCTTAGGTATGTTTTATGTACCCACCTYGTGTACCACCGAGTGCAGCGGCAGTGCAGCCAAGAACAGACCTGACTGCAGTGGCGATTGTGTGAGTCTCAGTAAGGAGCTGAGCAGGACACGCCAGGTCCATCCTGTTGCTCACACACAGCTATCAGCTCCCCATCCAACCTACTTGAAGGCAGCCTCAATTATSCCCTGGCATTCAGTGCATTCTGTCGCAGCGGAGCTCCTTTGGTCTGGGCAAAAACATCCCCAAATGAACTCGTACTTTACATCAKGCCAATGGGACTACAGACATGCTTTGAAGTTTCAGCCAGAATAAAATGCCAGCATGAGGGCACGGACAGTCCTTGTGCCCTGCTTTTGAAATTTTCAAAGGCTTTACCAACACAGGACAAAATAACGCCTGTGTTATCAAAAGAAACAGCCAGATAGATTTTGGAGATCACCATTTTCTAGAGATATTGAATCAGTTTAAAGCCCAAATTGCATATATCCTATCCTAACAGCTGTGGCACCTTGAAGCTGCMAGAGGCATAGGCATTGCCTAGGGATGTGCCCTAGGGATGCGCTCTCCAGAACCAGCAGGACAGACAGGAACAAAAGACACCCCCCCTTAATAACAAGCAAACAACCTACAAGCTTGGTCTGCTAAGAGAGGAGAACAAACAAGCTGTCTTAAGGAAAAATATAGTTTATGCATAATTGTACTGATTTGTATAACTGGAAAACTCAGTCAATTTGTTTTCAAAACTTACAGAAACTTTTCTAATAACTGATAACCTTTTAATAATCCTGTATTAACTGCTAATTTTCTCTACTTTTGCTAGAACTGATGTTTGTCTTTTCATTCCAATCAAAGCCTTACTATAAAATCCATTAATTTAAATAGATAACAGGGCCCTACAAACAAATGAATCTTGTCCTACTGAAATGTCATAAAAAATCTGTTTCAACTGCCAATGTCAATTCAACTAATTCTATTAGTTTGCTTAAAATGAAATATTTTTCAACAGTATTTAAAATTCACTCAATAGTCATATCTCTATCATGTCTTAATTGATAAGAATCAATTTTCCTCCCCTTTTTTCAGTGTTCAGTGTTCTTCCATAATATCCAGCATTAGATTTTGAAATGAATCTGCTTCAACTACTGTGTCAAACCAGAAAATGATTTAAGAGAACAAATTACTTTTCCAAGTTTCCACAGAAAGAAAAAGCTAATRCAAGGTATTTTGCTTGAAAGCAGACCTCTAAACAAATCCATGTTCTCAATCACTGCTAACAAAGCCAGAAGAAACTGCCAAGGTATCTTCACAAAAATAATATGGTTTGTGAGCAGACTCTGAAGCTGAAAAATCAGGCATTTCACAAGACCAATGTGTTTGCCATTATACACAGAAATGATAGCAAAGGAAGAGAAGTSGCTTTTATTTGTCCTTCCCCTACGTTCCCCAGCTACTGTATTCAGATAAATTGCCATGGAAACTCAATTTATATGCCAAGGATAGTAGCACAGATAAGTTGAATCCCCTTGGAGAGATTCTGAATAGAAAAAGTCCTCCCGTTGTGCTGCTGGCAGAGCCTGAAGCTGCAGCATTGCTCTTCCCTGTTAAAGGAGCACAGCAACCAGCAGAGCAACTTTCTTGCTGAAGTGCTACTCCCTTCCACACGTCCTTCCCACACATGGGGAAATCGAAGCCCTGGTGACAGCAGTGCAAACGATCCTGCTCTTGGCTGCACAAGCTCCTACCTCAGCACTGCTGTGCAGGGCAGTCTGGTTGTCCCTGTGACATCCCCTCAACTACAAGCTGCACACAGTACACAGAGCAGTCACAGGACTGGCTGTGTGTGCTCGACACGGAGGGTATCCTATGACTGCCACTGGGATGCATAACCCCCACGCTAACAAAATACTCACAGCTACACTGACGCACACAATCATATCCCCAAGTGAGAAAAATTACTGCCAATTTTGAAAAATACTTTCCTTGCATGAGAAAGTGACTTGCAAATTCWATCTTCGCCCTCAACAGAGGGCAAAGAGGGCAAACAAGAGGGTACAGTTAGAAGAATAACACATAGCACAGCATATACACAATCATTTATTAAAATTCACTTAAAAAAAAAGGAAAGGAAAGGACATTAAGGCATCTTGTATTCAGTTACCATTCATTAACAGTAAAGATGAGTTTTCTTTCCAGTACAAGAGAGCAGACCAGTAAAAGAAAAAAAAGTTTTCCCAACATTATGTTGCAGAGTGCTGAATTCTTCCCACCGTTCCACCCACCATTTGGCCAACAAATTCCTCCCAGGAACTCYCATTTCTTCAGCAAAAGAGTTAACAAACCCCAACACTCACTGCAACACACACAAGGGCACATTTCCCCCACCCCRCCTCAGACCTCAGGTTTCTGTAAAGATGCACGTGAGAGCAGGACTAACAGGCGGACACTGCACAAAATGGAGAGATACTACTGCAACCACACTTTCTGAATAGACTAGAATATTTGGCCTTGCATTCGCTAGAATAAACTACTTGAGTCAATAACTAGGGAGAACGGGACCACAATCTCTAGTGTCTATTATCACATAACAATTTTTAGGTTCTCCTTCTGTATTAGTATTAGATAAAGAAATGACAAAGGTTTTGTTTCCATTGAATAATTTATTTTGATGAATTATGCTGTGAAGTGAGAAATCACTGTTATAGTGTTTTTTTTCCTTTTTTCTATTCAAAAAGAACATCAAGAAATGTTTACAGTATCATTGCTTCACTATAACAGGATTTTACTACAAAGTAAAATATAAATTAATTAACACTGCATATATCACTATTCATTTCATCACATTGGCTCTCTATATCCTTTGTCACATTCTAACCTTCATTTAAGGCAAGTTTTGTTGTCAAAGATCACAAAGTCTCTAGATCAATTTGTGTGACTAGGTTTACGAGTTAGGAAAGTGAGCTTTATAAAACGTTTACTTCAACAAGTAAGAAAGTTATTAAGAGAAAGATGGTGACCCAAAATTGTACTGTATTAAAAGGTGGTGTTTCCTTGTACCAAAGTCCTTTATTCATCATCTTTAGAACCAGTTTTGCTTAACTATAAAAGAGACACAAAAAGAAAGTGTTCAAAGTTTAGACTGCTATTCCATTTATTAGAAAACAAGAACAACATTATTTCCATCTTACACAGAATACAGGCATATTTAGTTAATAATACAGACTGTGCTACTGTAGCAAGAGGTGTATTTCACTCAAAAATATTTCTTTTTTTATACTAAATAAGCTTACTTTCTGAACCTGAAACTTTTTCTATCTTTCCTTTTTATGAACTAAGTTCTCTCTGCACATCTTAMACTGTTCCCACATACATACGAGCACGAACTGTAAAACCTAACATTATTACTCTCCTTTTTTAAATCTAAGTCCATAAGTACTAGAAATAGTGCATCTATCAGGAAATTTCTCTGAAATCCACAACATCCACTATAAATAATTACTTTGAATGCAAAGATTTTCTGCTTATAAGCACCATTTGCTAACTGGTATTTAACAACTAGAAACGGTGATAGGTCTTATACTGAGAATTAATTATGGTGGCATAAAATAATTTGCTAAAAAATGYCAGGCAGCTATATTCATTTCCACTTCACAGCAAAGACACTGGGGCAAAAGATATCTATGCTGAGGAAACGAGAAGAAGAGAATTCTTCACTGGAAGAATTATAGCAGAGAATGCTCGGGCTTGCAGGAGACCCTACTTGAGAAAGCTACTCATTGCTTCTACTTTCCTATCTATTGCTCTCCTGGCTGCACYGCAAATTTTATTTTATATCTTGCTTTCCATACAAGGAAAGAATATTTTTTGTATGTTTGGACATCAGAAGTCTCTTGTCAAAAACTAAAACTTAATTGCTCAATAAATTAAAAAAGAAAAGACTAAAGCACTTTCACTTCTCTCTGAAACTAATTTCAGATGCTATTTAACATCAGAAGAATTAAGCATTTTAAACACATTTGAAAAATATGTGAATTGGGATTGAAAATAAGTAGCAATTTTTACTATTTCCTGCAAATCTTTTTGGTATTAAAAAAGATAACTTGAGAATACTTACATGCTGGATGTACATAGAAATGAATGAGACATCACAGTCAATCCAAACAAAGTTAGGAAGAAAAGCAAAAAGACATCAGATTAAATATAATTTGTAGTTACATCTGAAGGAAACCAAAGTACATATTGCAGTATATTTTCGTAACTCTTAACAGTCATGTTACCTTAATTACATCCACCCAGTTCCATCCTCGAGGAAGTTCCCCTTTGTGATCTGCAGAACAAGTAGTTTTTGTTTTCAAAACATGAGCCAAAGAGAAATTTTATCTGTCTTTAAATCATCAAACAAAATACTAAAAACCAAGAAAACCTGAATTTCTCCCTCACAAAGTCATGAAAAGAAATACTAATGTATTTTTTTATATAAAGTATTCTTAGAATTTAACAGTTCTCAAACAACACTGAAGTATTATTCCAAAACTACTCTTAAAATATCTGAATATTCTTTTACGACAGACTCGTAATGGCAGTTAAGAGTTATTTGAAATTTTAAGTCCATCAAAAGACATTAATACGGCAAATGGTAAAAAACATACATTTTATTCCTCAAAGTMATTCTGTTGAAGTAAAAATACCCAAGACAGTCCATTTAACGTTTGATTTAGAAGGCAACTCTAAAACAATGGTGGGTTGAGCAGCAATGATGCATTTTGTCAAAAAATAACGTTTTACATATATTTCATTTTGCAGGATCAGTATTTAACACRTAAAGTATGCACTTGGAATACATAAACAATATGCAGATATTCCTAGCCTAGGGTATAAATAAYGGCTGCAGTAGGACAGTATCAGCCAGATCATTAAAAAAAATAGTACAAGTCCTCTGCAGAATTAGCCAAATAGCTGAACTCTTTCAATCAACAATGTAATATTTCATTAAAAGCACAGAATATCTGCAGAAGCATCTCTGTACATCTGTTTTGAGGACACATACTATGCTAAATGTTTTAGYTTAATTTAGTCTTCTGAAAGTAACATTTTCATTTAGAAATTATGTTTTAAATTACTTACTACTTGTCAGGGTTTGTTAATGAAATATAAGACTTTTATAAGACTAAATGTTTTCTCCATAAAAAAAATTTTTGAAAACTCCACTTTTGTCACAAAATTAAAAAAAATAATAAGCTACCTTAAAATATGTCACTTTGATCAGAATTACCAATAATTAATTCTATAAACAAGAGACTAGCGATTCTGCTGCCAGCACAATGTCACTGCTGTAAAAGCTGGACTCTCACACTGCTCAAAGAAAACAGCATTTTAATGAACAAACCTGTTTTGTCAGCTAGCTTTCGTTTCTGGGTTTTGGATAACTGTTCCTTTTTATCTTTTTTCTTACTTGCTGGCACATCAGGAGTTCCAATTGCGATACTATTGCTTGCTGAAGTCTGAGAAGGATAAAAATTGTTCTGAATATTTTGTATTATACTTCCAAAGCCAATAATACAAAAGGAACATACCTGTGTACGATTACTGTACCAGACCTACTGAAAYATCTTGATTGTCATATAAATTATCATCACAGACTGTTGTGGTACTATTGGTACCATACTCAACTGTTCAGCCACTARTATGTTTAAATGCAATATATTGATTAACATCTTAAAGATAGACTGATGAAATTTAAATTTAGAGTTCTAACAACTATTTTTTGATATTTACCATATGAAATATTTTAGAAGTGCTTTTAAAAGCACATCTTTAATTCAGATTAAGATCTGAATTTATCTACTTACCACAGTGTGAACAGGCTGATTTTCCATGAACAATTCTTTATTATCTTTGGCATATTCAAAAAGTGTATATGTCATAGCAGTTCCAAGATTAGCTTCAACCTCTACCATTAATTTATCCAGTATACTTTTTTTAACAGTTGAAGATCTAAAAGAAACCAAAAAAAACAATGTAATCTTGGCAGAAGTTTTTCAACGGAAAACCGCCTCTACATATAAAACTAGGAAGAGAAGCAGTCACAAATACTTACATTGTGTTGTTGAAGAAAGCGTCCATCGATAGGACTGGTGCTGTTTGTGGATATGTTTCTGGCCAAGACACTTCTATTAGAAAAGCTTTGGGATCTCCATTTTCACCTATCTGAAAGAAAAAGTAAAACCTAATATATCAACAATTTTGAGTAGCTTATTAAAGACTACAGTGTCAGTATGTGAATCTTCTACATCTTCAAGATTATCTACATTCCCTTGAAGACAACAACTATTTTTATACTATTACCTGTCAGAAAAAAAAAAAAAAAGTTTTTATCTAGAAAAAAAAAACCTTGCATTTATTACATGAACATTAACCTCTACCCTGCAGCTTTCCTTCTATGAAAATTATCAGACTCATTCTCAGTTCCTTCTGAGGTGATGCTACTTGGCTTCTTTGCAGGTCTGCAAACCAAATCCTATATGGTTTCCTACTCATGAGAAAAGATAAWTTTTTTTTTTCTCCACTTTTTTCCCCCCTCATCCAAGCTCAATGCAACATGAAACAAACCACAACACAGTGGTGAGATACAGAACACAATCTATTAATGACTTAAGAGAGCACAAGTAATAGGTAAGAATTTTAATACTTATTTCTTAACACTATAGATATTTTACCTTACAATAAGAAAGAATGACTACAAAGAATATTCAAGTAGCCAATAGTCTAGATGAAAAAGAAAACAAATAAACAGAAAACATATCATGTTATGCACTATGCCATAAAGATTATGTTAACTTCGGTTAAATAAAAAAAATTATTTTTCAACTGAAAATTAATACAGACTAACAAAAATGTACCTTACAAACAGAAATAAACATTTCGCACATGGATTTATTATCCTGCTGTAATAAAATTGGTTTAAATACTATTTTAATACCATGAGAATAAAATCTCTGATTTTAGAAGAGGCAAAATCTGGCTTTATTAATCTGTGTGGAATGARGTGTAACAACAATAAAAAAAATCCTACTCAAGTTAAAGCCACACTTTAGAATGACTCAAAATTCAAATGATTCTTTTTCAATAGTCTGGATGTACGTAAAGAAAAAAGCTAGTGTTTATTTCATTTACAATCGCTGTGTCAGTGGAGTGGATGAGGTGATATTCAGCGGCATCTGTTTTACGAGTAAAGGCATTAGGCTTTAAATCAGGGATATGCCACATTTATCAAGACACCCTGCACAGTGAAGCAGTCCGCTTCCCAGAGCTGCCATCAGGAGAACTGGCATTGTGGTTTATGGAGTTTTCTTCCTCTCAGAAAATCTGTCTGCACATTACCAAGCGAGTGCACAGAGGAAGCTGTGTGGCTGYCACTCCTCCTGTCAACACAGCTTGCAACCTGGGCACCACACTCTGTACGATACTGCCACATTTCCTCAGTATTTGAAAAGCTTTTCATTTCAGTTTTGCAGCACACTGATTACAAAATACATATGTGGTAGGCAAATGAGGCGCTGAAACTTTATGCAGTTCATTGTACCAAACTGCTTCAATGCATGTTTTCCTTCACAGGAAATATCTGTTATAGCCTTTATCCGATACACAGTGTATAGAATTTAAATTGGGCTCTCTTAATTTATCTTTTTTTTTTTTTTTTTTCTCTGTGAGAAATTAGCAAGAACGGAAACCAGCCACGTGTATGAGGCTACACTGCAGGTCGGGASGGATGCTACGTTTACCCTTCCAAGAACCATAACTTCACACGCAAGCAGTCCTGTCAAGAAAGCAAGGCTGCATGTGTGTGGATGGAATTCAAGCACTATTTACCAAATCAGCTCCTCTCGCTATAACTAATGATGCTACTCCAAATAACGTGCTGGATAAGGCACCTAAGCTGCCTCAGATGCGAGATGACGATGTCCCGGCCGAGCAACGGGGCAGGCACAGAGCTCCCCACCTTCCTGAAGCTTTCCTGGGAGCAGGAACCCCCTGCCCTCGGGGAGCCCCCAGCAGGGCTACCTGCCCTGCCTGTCACACAGGCGCTAAGGGGTGAYCAGCCCCTACGGGACAACAACCCACCCGGCAGCAGCTCCCTAAATGCCAAACGTTGAAACATTGAACATCACCACAGCAAAGAGCCTGGAACAACCGCCTACACCCATCTAGGGCCTTCACAGCCTGCTGAAAACCCACTTTATATTAAAAAAAAAAAAATATATATATATATATATATATATTTTTGCAAGTACGTGGCGCTGTCCCGGACGCTGCCTCACCCGGTACTGGAAGGACACGGGGCTGAGCTCCCTGAAGCACCGGTCTCCCTCGTAGATCGACCGCAGCGCTTCCAGCTCCATCTGAGGGGAGCAGAGGCAGCCGTTAGTGACCGACCGCCAGGCGGGCGGCGACGCCCCCCCGCGCCGCTAACGGCCGCTAACGGCCGCCAACGGCCGCCCCTCACCTCCTGGTCCTCGTTGGCCGCCATGGCGCGCGCCGCGGGGGGGGCGGCCGCCCCCCCTCCCCTCCTCCCTCCCCCGCCCCTCCGGGCCCGGGCACCCGCGGCGTCGCACGGGCAAGCGCAGCGCGCAGGCGCGGAGCGCCGGGCCCGCCCTCGCGGCATCACCTGACCGCTGGCTGCCACTGGCGCCGCCCTCCCGTCCTCTCCTCCCGTTGGCTGGCGCTGCCGCGGCGTCGCTTCCTCCCTTGAGCGGATTGGCTGCTCCTGCTGCCCGTCAGCTCCGCGGGGCTTCTCTTCCGGAGGCGCGGCCCGGCTTGCCCCTTTGGGTGTTCCCGCCGTGGCTCCCGAGCGGCGGYGCCGGCGGCTCCCGCTCCCGGTCCCGTGGCGAGGATGGCGGCAGCGGCGCCGGTGCTGGCGCCGGCGGCGGCGCAGTGGGAGCTGCCGGTGGAGCTGTGCTGCCGGCCCATGGCCTTCGTGACGCTCACGGGCCTGGACGTGGTGTACAACGCGGTGCACCGCGCTGTGTGGGACGCCTTCTGCGCCAACCGCCGCGCCGACCGCGTGCCCATCTCCTTCAAGGTGCTGCCCGGCGACCACGAGTACCCCAAGTGCCGCACCAAGGTAGCGCCGGCGCCGCGGGAGGAGGGATTGGGCTTGCGCGCGGGATTCTGCCGCCTCCTGGCCGTATCCCGGCGTTTGCTGCCCGGGAAGCACCGTGGCTCAGCCATGGGGCCGCCTCCAGCAGGTTCCCCTGCTTTTGGCTCCTTTTGGCTGCCTTTTGCAGCTTCCCGAGCAAACAGGAGCCCTCTCTCCCCGCTTTTTTGAAGTAGGCCTGGTGTTTTGCAGAGGCCTGTGAAATGCACAGCTGAGCTGGGCCCTTTTGGTCCTGCCTGCCCCAAATCTCTCAGGCTTTATTATTAATAAATGTCTCCTGCGCCTGGCTCTGGTGCTGGGAGATGAGAGGTATGCCCTGCTTTTCAGGAGGGAAAAAAAGGCCAGAGGATGAAGGGTATGACCTGCCCTTTAGGAGGAAAAAAGCCCGGGGGATAAGGGATATGCCCTGCTCCTCAGGTAAATAAAGGCTTGAGGGGAAGAACGTCCCAGGAAACGTGACAGACGTTTTCCCATCAGGGTATACAGACCCATAGCCTTCCTCCAACTCTCTTTAAAGAAGCCTAAAGGGACCCRTTAGCTTGCTCTGATGTGCTGAATGTTTCCAGAGGACCTCCTACGAGTGGTACATTCCGAAAGGGATCCTGAAGACTGGCTGGATGAACAAGCACCTGAATCTGGTTCCGGCGCTCGTGGTGGTTTTCTATGAGCTGGACTGGGAGGAGCCGCAGTGGAAAGAAAAACAGTCCGAATGCGCCACGCGGGTTGAGATCGTCAGGTAGTCCTTTGCTTTGGTTCACGATGCACTGCGAGCTGACGGCTCTGTCTGAAATGCAGAGCCTTCGTGGCGTTACAAAATATACATTCTATCATCTCACACAACTCCTTTAGTAAACTTAGTAAGTTCAGCACAATTATCCTTTGCCATATAGGGAAGGAACAGTGCATTCTATGCATGATGTGGTGCACTGCTGCAGTTGCTTTTATTTGTCATATGATTTCTTAATGCTCTACCTAAACTGAAATGTGATTTTCTTCTGGTTATTCTCAAACATAAGATGAGACCATGACATTATGTCACTTTTGTTTTTAGGCAAAGCTTGCAGGGACGAAATACAAAAGTTGCTGTGGTTTTGATTCAGAAAAAAACGCCACTGCCTCCAGGTACTGGAAAGCTAATTAGAGTGCTTCATATGCTATTGYGACTATCTCATTTTTCAGAAGGCCTGAACCGACCATAACTTGTCTACTATCTGCAGTTCTTAATATATTGTTKTTTCTGTGAATGAAACATATTTGTGGCTGCACTGAAATCTACACATGGAAGCTCGAGCCATTGACTCGACTAAATTGACTAATTGACTAAATCATTCCCTTCTTAATTATTTCCTCCTAAGTCCAAGTCAAGCTTTTGATACCTTTTTATCAAAAAAGGTATATTAGTGTAATATGCGTTACTCCTTGWAAGTAGGCTGTGTTTTAAAGCTTTCTGGAGATGAACAAAAAATATAAAAGTAATGAAAACTTACAGGAAAGGCATTTGCTAGCTACAGAAACCTCTGGTTTTAAGACTTTTGACATATGTCTAGTATAAATAAAATGTTAGGGCATGAGGTGGGACTGCTTAAGTCCATACATGCCTTCTCAGTTAGCTCGTCTCTGGATGAGCCAACTTCTAAGTCAGGTCTTTTTAATAGGAAGGTGAGTTAAAGGAAAGCAAATTCCCCTTGATGGAGGAGTGAAGGAGTCTCTTAATGGCAAGATCCAAAGTAGGGAAGATGATTGAAAAACACATCATTCAAGTGGAACTGTGAAGCATGGGGCTATTCATCTTTAATTTCACTGAAACCACTGCCTCTAGCAGCACATTCTGTAGTGTTTGGTTAAGGAAGGGTGTTTTTGGTAGACTTTTTTTTTTTCCCCTGCCTGCATTATATTTTTTGTTTATGGGTGCTATTTCAGTCTTTAAGATTAAAAGAGTGAGAGATCAGAACTTTCAAGACCAAGTTATGGCATACTTCTACCTCGTTACAGAAGTTTTCTGACAGTGGCTTAGCTAGCAATCTCTTCCGCTGGATGAAGCACATAGTGTTCTGAATGAAGCAAGAGGCGGCTCAGTGTTTGGTGTGCTAGATTGTCCATGCCTTGTATCGGGCAGCGTTTGGGAGCTGGTTGACATAGCGCTGCGTGCCGCTTACTTGTGCTTTCCTTGGCTCCCCCAGGAGAAGATGTCATCGCATCGGAGAGGGCAGCAGCTCTGTGTAGTGCTTGTGACCTTTCTGCAAAATCCCTCTTTGTACTTCCACACACGGATCACCTGGTTGGTTATATTATAAGGTAAGTGTTTTTACAACACTGTTTTTCTCCGTTTACTGTCAGTGATGATGAGCAGTTATCCCAGCCTATCAGCTTGCTGGGTGGTACATGTCTTGTAGACCAATAGTGAATGTTTTACCTGTGCTTCAAGTTATTCTGCTTCCAGGTGGGCTCCACRGCTCTGCACTTCTGCACAAGATTTTCTCAGAGGCTTTCTGAGAAACTTTATTAGGTATCCTGACATTAGGTATCCTGAAAGGCAAAGCAAATTTCTCTTGCTAYAGTGTTTCCTGGACCTACTGGTTCTGAGTATTTTTCCCCACTAATGTTCTRTTGGATGTAACTTTGCATTAGCAAACTCTTGTATTGGCTTTACTCTCCACTTTCTAGCTGTACTAAGTGTCTCTCTTCCTCTGTGCTGAGTGATATTTATGTGTTTGCAGATACTATGTCCTTATATTCTTCATGCTTGTCTGCTTTAATATTTTGTCGGGGATATGGCTTCATATAAATTACTAGGATTTTTCAGATACAGAAACGGGACAAGAAAACTAGCCTCTAGTGACAAAGGCAACGGAGGCAAATTTGTTTTTTTTTTAAGTTTTTGCTAGTTTTATTAAAACTAGCATTTCTTTATGGTGGGGGTGTAAAGGGCAGTGCTTGTTTCAACAAGTGCTTAGAATGAGCAGTTGTGGCCTGAGAGATTAATTCTTCCTTCTGTCACTCCATTGTTTGTGCATAATAGTCAGGTTCKTGATGCTGTTGTTGTATCTGTTGCTAGAGAGCAGGTATTACTGCACATTAACTAGCATAAGCCTTCGCAGACCTCATGTAGYTGCATTGGAGGTAAACTGTCTCCAGATATGCAGACATAAGGCTGTAGCATTAAGGATTGATAGTTTTTTTATGTGTGTTTAAAAAATAGTCTCAAATTTAAAATCAGGAACAGAATTCCTGATATCAGTGTTCTGTTTTGAATTTTTAGTCGAAATTTTATAGTAGTAAGAGAAATGTGCAATGTGGGTTCTCTTGCTTATTTTAACAATCCTGAATTGTTTTTGAGTGACCTGTATCTTCTCATAGAGTAACAATACAGTGCTGCAACAACAAGGAGACTTTATTGTCTCTCTTTTGTCAGAACTCCTAGTTAACAATTGCTCCCTACTCTTCTGTTCTTTTGCTTTCATCCGCATCCTGTCTGTGCAAAGTGGAATTGCTTTAGCCAAAGTCTGCAATGATCCTTTCCTGGCCAAATCCCAAAACTGGTGCTTCATCCTTTATTATCTGTGTGTGTCAGTGCTGTTGAATAGAATCTTCTGGCCCTCTTTTTTCTTCTCTTCCCTTCAAATATGCATCTTACATCTTCCTCAGCCTCACCTTGGCCTACTGAGCTCTGGGTCTTTTTTCTTTACCCTGAGTTATCTTGCAAACACATCTTCAGTGGTCACCTGTGGCCCCAGATAGCTGCTGGTAGTTTGAAGTGAGGAGTCAGAGTCTGTGCCCCATAATTTTCTGTCTCTTGCTGCTGTACCTTCCTATCTTGTCCTTTGACGTGTCGAGGCTTAACCCAGGAGCCGCTGCAAGGTTGACTTACTCTAACTAAGGCATCTCTCCGTGTTTTGACTTTTCTATCCTAAGAGATCAGCTGCTTGCTGATCTTCACTTACACAAACCATAACAGTGTACTCCAGGCTTTCTCATGCTGTATATTAGGGATTTTTATATTGGAAATCAAGACATCAGGGATTCTTGAATCTATTTCTTATACATTGTGCAACTCCCATGCAAGACTGTTAAAAGTCCTTGTGCAGATGTCTACCCAGTATGATAATTATAGAAGAGTTTAGTGCTATAATGTATGACTTTTGGCAATATCTAAAATATGGATGGTGATTACAAGTAGCTTCTTTTGAAGTTCTTTGGTTTCCTTGTATTTTGTTGAGAGAAAGGTAGTGAAAAACAACTTTGTTGCAGGTTGGAGAATGCTTTCTATGAGCATGCGCAGAACTACTATTATACAGAAATACGAAGAGTTAAATGTCATAAGGAGTTCTTGAACAAAACCACTCATCAGGTAAACTTACTTGGTTTTTGACATATGCAAGCT